GGTATTTGAAGAATTTGAAGAGGCTAGATCTTTTTGTAGGATCACTGAGAGATTCAGGGACATTTTATTTCCCTATATTGTCCTAGGCTTGCTCTGTGATCAACCAAAGATTCTGATTTCTCTAAGTGAGAAATGCTACTAGAACCCAAGATATGACCACTCATTCTTTCTGGGGTGTCTCTGATTCTTAGCTCTTTGAGCAAGTAGAGCTAGGAAATAGATACATGGACACACACATAAATGTGCACACACACACACAATATTTATGCACACAAGTATTCATGTTTCTACACACATAATAAGCATGTTTACATACACGTCTGTATATACACACATTTACATGTCTTAGTGTAACTTTGAAATTTTTAGGCATTTAGACCCCCTCTTTTGTGGGGGTCATTAGCCTGGTTTGTTCTATAAGCTTAATAAAAACACTAAGTTTAGACTATATTTAAGATACAGTACATCTGCACACACTCATACACACATACTCACACAAAACATACACAGAGGATGTATTAGCTTGGGTAGCCACAATACAATACCAGAAACTGGGCAGCTTAAACAAGAGAAATTTACTTTCTCATAGCTCTGGGGGCCAGGATCCAAGATCAAGGTGCCAATAGGTTGGATTTTGGTGAAGGCTGGTTCTTGGCTTATGGGGGGCTGCCTTTTGGTCATGTCCTTACATGACCTTTCTTCTGTGCACGCAGAGACTCTGATGTCTTTTCCTCTTCTTGTAGGGGCACCACCCTTATTAGATTAGGGCTCCACCCCATGAGCTCATTTAACTTTAATTACTTTTCTATCTCTAAATATAGTTACATTGGGGATTAGGGCTTATGTGTTTACATTTGGTGGGCAGAGGGATGGGGTTGGGGACACAATTCATTCCATAACAGAAAGGAAAAGATATGAAAACTGCAATTATGAATGGCTCTTCTTTGTGTGTATATGTGTGTGTGCATGCATGGACGCGTGTACCTGGGTATATGTGCACGCATGCTCATTACATTTTCAAACTTTCTGCAGTGGACATTTGTACCTCATAATTGGAAAGGTTGCTTTAAACAGCAACACTTCATCTCCTTGTTGTAGCCTTTTCCTGGCAGATGTCCCCTGAGGCTCCCTTGCTCTGGAAATGACTTTTTCTCCTCATTGTGAGCTCTTCACTCCCCTTCTCCCTAGGACCTCTGGACCCAGGTTGCCCTCCCTGAGCAGTAAGTACAGGAGTGCTGGAGAAGAGCATTGTTCTCCCTGCTGTGACCTTGCAGGGTGCCGTGTCCATAAACAAGGTGCTTGAGCCTGGAGGTGTGATGTGGTCCACCTAAGACCACAGTGTTAGACAAGGACCAGGGCTGGGCCTCCCACTGTCAGCCCCCTGCATAGCTTTGAGTCAGTCTTTCCTTGAGGAAATCTTTGAGCCTCACACAAAGGGGACTAATGTGGGTATGTTCGGAGCCATGTCCACTCAAGGCTGTGTGTCTGTTGGGGAGGTTGGCTTCTCTCCATTCTTTCTACCAGATCCCAGCCCTGACCATTTTGTCTTTCTCCTCTCTGAATAAAACTATCATGTATCTCCCTCATTCCCTGTTTCTTGGATTACTTTGTCATTCATCTCAAACAGCTCAGGTGAATAACCCATTCCCCATTGTACACAGGAGGACTGGGGGTGGCCTCGATGCTCCCAGGGTGCTGATAATTTAAATGTCTGCTGGTTGTATGTGTGTGTACTGCTGCAGAACACAGAATATTCTGGTCAGAGCCCAAGTCTGGCCTCTGGTCCTGGCTCTGCCTCAAACTGACCTCCAGCCTCAGACAATTCTCTCTATTCTCTAGACTTCACTGTACACATCCTGAAAATGATGGATTTGATCAGTCCCGTATTAATCTACCCACTCTGGCATGCTGCAGTTCAGACAAGAAGCAAAATTCTCCTATGCCAAATACCTCATGAAATGCTCTTTTGGACATCTCCTCCCGAGAGTATGGGTGCCCAATTTGCCCTCTTCCCAAGGGGCAGTATAGCATGTAGATTGGAAGTCTCATCTCTGGAGCCAGGTAGAAGGCTCAAATCAGACTCCTTGAATTCCAAGCTATGTGACTTACACAGTTTACATAGCATCTCTAAGTTGGTTTCCATTGTCACAAAATCGGCACATTAATATTCACTTCCTCAGGCTATTGTGAACACAACTGAGATAAATATATGAGAGTAACTGGCGTGAGTAAGCATCATTAAGCGGCATCCATTATTGTTGTTGTCATTTATTGAAAAGAAGAAAGGTTTGTGCATCTGTCTGGAAATTTCCATCAGTGAAGCCACAGATCCTGGAGCTGGAATGTCTCCAGGAGCCGGAAGATGCTGCCACTAGCTTCATGTCTTGCACACTAAGAAGATTGCTGGAGAGGGGCCATGTCAGGAGGAGACAATTTTTTAAATCTCAGCTTTCACTGATACTCATCATAATGTGTAAATAAACCACCAGGCATCAGCGCTCTGCATAGACAAAGGCATAGCTAAAGAAAAGACTTCCTGTTCTCACTAGACCAACTGTTTGGGGTGTGGGCTGGGCTGAGGGGAGAGTTCTGTCTTAGAAGACATCTACAGATGCATGGGAAGGGCTCTCTGCCTCCAGAGCCTCCCTGCCACTATCTCAGTCACATCTACTTGGCAAAACCTTTTCTGCTAGGAAGCCTGCTCCAACTTTGCCTGTACCACCAAAGAAGCTCAGACCTCGCTGCCATGACCCCTTCCGACATCTCTCTGATCCCTTCCGCCTCTCTCCCTGTGTCCTAGGCATGCTGAGCAGTTCCTAAACAGGCTGCCCACCATCCCAGTAAGGATTGGGTTTGTCTGCCAGTGACAGGAACATTCCACACATCTCCGAGACTAGCATAACAAGACCAAGATATATTTCTCTCATAGAAAAGTCCAGAGGTAGACATTCCAGAGCTTTCATGATGTTCCACAGGGTTAAAATCCCAGGTTCTTCCTTCTTCATGGGTTTGTCATTCTTAACATGTGACTCTACTTCACAGTTCACAATGACTGCTCAAGCTCCAGCCACCATATTCACTTTTTAGCCAGTAGGAAGGGGGATGAAACAAGGAAAGCCATGACCCTGCCTCTGAGGGCACTTCCTGCAGGTCATACTTGCTGACACACCATTGGTCAGAGTTAGTCACATGCCAATTTAGCTGCAAGAGAGCCTGGGAAATTTTTATTTCAGGTATTCTGTGTTAGGTAGGCCTATGTCCTTTCAAGTCAACACAGGTTAAAAGTTAGGTTAAAAGTCAGAGTTGTTTGTTACCAAGGAAGAAATAGAGAATGGCTAGTGGGTGACCACTAGCAGTTTCTGCCACATACTCTCACATCTGGGAATTTGCACTTGTTCCAGCCTTGGTCCAGAACATCCTGTCTCTCCTTAATGCTCACTCACCCATGGTCATCTTCACACTATCTCTATTGTGGCTCCTCAGCACCTTTACAGGTGCACAGTCCCTGGTGAGAATGGGCCCAGACCAGTGTTTCTTGACTCAAATATGCTCTGGATGAATGAATTTCATCCTTAGGCCTGTAGGGACACCCTGTGGCTGTGGGGACAGAGAGGGCAGTGCAATGATCTTAGATTCTTAGCAATTGCTGTCCTTCAGGCAGCTCTTGGATAATTTCCCTCCCCACAGTCATGTTCAGACACCACCACCACAGTGCCAATGATTAGGTTTCAGCCTTGGTGACGGTGGTCCAGGTAGGAGAGATTATGGTTGTGATTCTTGCATTCATTTGCCATCAGTTTTTGATTTGATTTCTACCATGTTCCCTTCTCACTTGGGCCACATCTGTTCCACTTGCTCTTTAGGATGATTGGCAAGTGATCTCATGGTTCAGTTTTGGCTTTCTAACTTTCTAAGAGGGACGTGACTCCTTTCATTAATAAGCCCTCGGGGCTACTTTTCTGTCTTTCTTATTAACTCATCTTCTCTATGTGATCCTCAAGACAGCTCCTGTTTGAGACAGTAGAGAAGTGTTGTCTCCATTTCCTACATAGGAAAATGAAGGGCTAAGAGGTTACCCCACAGTCACAGATAAGTTAGTGTCAAAGCCAAGAGTTGAGCCTGGGTCTTTTGGTATCCAAGTCCAGTATCTTTCACCATCTGCTACCACATTTTTATTATTTTGATAAATCATTTAATAAACATTTCCATGTGGATTTTCCCTGAGTTTGGATTCTTTCTTGGGATAGATTCCCCAAGTCTCAATATGCTTTTATAAAAAGGCTCCTAATACATCCTGCAAAATTGTTCCCGCTGGTTGTTACACTCATGTGTAAGCCAGTTGGGTTGAATTCCCCATGTGCAGCCCACCCCAGGAGCCTGGGGTTGAGGGAGAGGAGCTGTGGCTGCTTTGCCCAAAAAATTGCACATGATCATCTCCCTAGCATGGTGAGATTCTTGTGTTCAAAGTTGGAGTCTCTCCACTCAGCCATAGACATGGTGATCTGTTCTAAGACTGCAGGAACTCTTGACTGTGCTGGACCTCATGAGAGAGATGTATGCATGCCATGTACTGGACTTTGAGCTGATTGAATGGATTTCCCGAGATATGATATATTATTTATATTATAAGTATCTATTATATTCTAATCGCATTCTCTACATTATATTATAACTTAAAACATCACTATGCTGACCCCCCTCAAAGTGGGATGTCACACGACTAGGAGACCATATCATTTTTCACTATACCCTCACCCCGAGTTCCAGTCTGAATGGAGTTTCTGCACCATGGTTAATGGCTTGTGACAAATGTCCTTTCAAGTTGGCACAGTTCAAGCTGGCATCACCTTCCTCTCATTGAAGGTAATGTTGCACCAACTCAGAGCCCCATGGAGAGCTTGAGGACTCAGTTAGTGTCTGGTTATGTGTCACTTGTTACCATGAGCCCAGCATCCACACCTAAACGTTCAAGTTGACAAACTCATTTCTTTCTTCTGTAGTTGGTCACCACAGAAGGGCGCTTCCTCAGGGACAGTTTGTACAGTGAAGGAATCCTGATTGTGTGGGACCCGTCCATGTACCATGCAGATATCCCAAAGGTAAGTGAGGGACTGAGTCTCTTGTTTGCCTGCTGATTCTCCTGAATTCCTCAGTTCTTAAAGTCCTGGCTGAGGTGAGCCAGTCCTGGCTACTTGAGTTTTAGGCACCCCACTTCATCTGGACTAGTGGATTCAGAAGTGCTCCTATCCCAGACCAGCTGCTCTCCAGGCCCTGCCCTGCATTGCCATGGACTTGTCTCTCAGTTATGGCTGGAGTTCTCGCTGTCCAGAGTAGATTGTGTTCACTAATACAGTTATTCCTGGCGAGCATCCACAGGAATAGATAACAGTTACTCTTATCCCTGTAGTAATGTTACCACACTTCTGTCCTGTGCCTCCGATTTCCAGAATTCTTCTCATTTTACTCTGATAACACTATAAGTAAGTGGATGGAAGCATGGGTTTTCCCATTTTGCAGACAGAGAAACCAGAATGTGGATAAGGGAAGTCACTTGTCCCAGGGCTTGATTCCTAAGCAGAGAGCCTAGATTAGCACCATCGACTCTTTCAGTGAAGGAGCCAAGGGTCAATGGCCTGCTGGACTCCTAGGCTTTCTGGAACAGTCTGTTTGTTACATGTGTCAGTTGGCCTCTGCCTGCTGTGGGCTGCAGGGACCTCAGAAAGGCAGATGGAACTGTTCTTGGGACACTTCATTCTTTTTTTTTCAGTACCAGGGATTGAACTTGGGTCCTTGCACTTTTGATGCAGGTGGTGGAACCACTGAGCTAAGTCTCCAGCCCAGGACACTTAATTCTTAAGGTGGCTGCACCAACTCACATGGCTGATAGCCTCTCGTGTTCCCGGTACCCTTTTTACCTTAGTTCCTACAGTTTTGCACTGATCTCACTTAGAACTCAAATTGTCCTGGTCAGGAGAAAGACTCTAAACCCAGAGATGTGGCAACTCAGGCTCTGGTTTTCTCTCCTTCAAAAATGAGAGTACTTTGTGGCCAGACAGGGTGGCATGCATCTGTGGTCCTGTTGTCCCAGCTGCTTGGGAGGCTGAGACAGGAAGATCACTTGAGTCTGGAGATTTGAGGCTAGTCTAGGCAATGTAGCAAGACCCCATCTCAAAAGGAGAGAGAAAGAGAGAGAGAGAGAGAGAGAGAGAGAGAGGAAGATGGGATTAGATGGGGCCCTTTTCAGCTATGATATCATTTCCAGGCTCTATGACCCTAAAGTGTGAAGCTGTTCAGGGTCACCAAGTCCAACATTCTTGTAGGTACAGACTTTGGGCTTTATCCTGCTGTGCAGAAGTCTGGGATCTGCTCTGAGGGAAGGGCTGAGTCTCAGGATCCTGCCCTAGTCCTCCCCCTCCCATGTCCTTTGATGAGAATGACTAATTATGAGGAACACGGGCATGGGCACATTTCTCTCCTGAGATCACCGCTTTCTTCTTTTTCAGTGGTACCAGAATCCCGACTACAATTTCTTTAATAACTATAAGAGCTATCGCAAGCTGCACCCCGACCAGCCCTTTTACATCCTCAGACCCCAGATGCCTTGGGAGCTGTGGGATGTTCTTCAGGAAATCTCCCCAGAAGAGATCCAGCCAAATCCCCCATCCTCTGGGATGCTCGGTAAGTCCCCATGTGGGGAAAGACCTTGTGTGGTTGTTTCCAGAAGAGATAAGCTCTCTTTGGGTGTTTCACCCATCCATTCCTTTATTTGTTCACCTAAACAATTGCTAATATTTGCTCTGCTGGTTCACTGGGCCAAGTTCTGTCTAACATACAGAAAGAAGATATGATTCTTCTCCTTTAGGATATCTACCGGGAGGATTCAGTCAGGTATCTGAGATGGTAGACAGGAGAGAGGACCCCCTTCTAGCTTCGTGCAGGAAGTAGCACTGGCTAGGCCTTGGAGAGGGCAGCACTTGGTGATGAAATGGAGTAAACTGCACACATGGCAGCAGAGGAGGCAGAAAAACAGGAGGAACAGGGCTGTGCCTTGTAGGGTAAGCAAGGTTCTTATCTCAGGCTTACAATTTAGAGGGGCACCTCAGAACTTAGTAATCAAGCAATGCTTTAATGAAGTGTTTCTAAACATCACAGTTAATACCAAAAATTATGATAAATGAGATACCAAATATTTCAATAAAGACAGGATCAGGGCCCAGGGGGGATGTAGCTCAGTGGTGCAGCACCTGCCTGGCAAGGCGGGGCCCTGGGTTCGATTCCCAGTACCAAAAAAAAGACAGGATCCATAACAGTGCTGTGGAGTCCTATTGGAACCTGAAGCAGAGGAAAAGTCAGTTACACAATCTTGTCTTTATTTGTCCACCCTAGTGAGTACCTGACCTGAGTCACAGTCCTGAGAGAAGAACGCATGGGGACACTCCCCTGGAAATGGGGATGAGTGGTCTGTGGGACCTGGATTGGAATAGGTCAGGGATAAAGGCTCCTGAACGCTGGTCAAAGGGTCTCTCCTTAGACTTTCTCCATACTTCTCAGTCCTCGTGGTGCATCTGCCATCCTCTCTTTTGCTGTTTGGATCACTGAGTCATTTCCATGAGGCTGCAGGCTGGCTGTACATAAGGCTGGGAGCTCCTTCCTTGGAGCCCCACAGTGGACCACTTTCCCGGTGGATGGTCCAGCCAGTCCCCACTGACTACTTCCCCTGCTAGGCTGCAAAGTCTTCCAGGGCGGTAACCGTGGTTGCCTTACCTGTGTGAGTCTGGCACGGAATAGTCCTTTGGAAAATGATAGTAAACGAGTAAGGAAGTTTACTCTCAGAGGCATTCCTATAGAAAGAGGTTGGGACTCACAGTATCGCGTCTTCTTTACCCTTTGCTTCAGCTTTTGGATGGATGGTGCTTTGAGGGCTGTTCCTGAGCCTTTCAAGCAGAAGTGATTAGCATTCTGAGGCACACACCTTCCGGTTGCCCCTCTCCCCTCCCTCCTGGCTCTCACCCCTCCACCCCACTCTGCAGCTTCCAGCAGGTTTACTTGAGCCTTCTCCTGTGAGAAGGTCTTCCTTCTTGAGGGATCTGCTGCACCCATGTTGGTGTTGGTCACTTCCTCATGTCCTGAGGGACGGCCTGCTGAGTGCTTAGGGCAGACAGCGCTTTCCCCATGTCTACCTCTCCTAAAACAAAGTGGCTGCTAGCGTTTACAGGGTTTTTTTTGTTTTTTTTTAAATTTAGGTACCGGGGATCGAACTCAGGTCCTTGCACTTGTGCAGCAGGCGGCGAAACCACTGAGCTAAATCCCCGGCCCCAACGTTTACAGTTTTTAAAGAGCCTGAGGCCCAGAGAGGGCCCATTTTTGCACAAGATAACCCAGCCAGTTGGGGACAAGTGTAGGTGGGAGTGTGAGCTCCCAGCCCCCTGACTGGGCTGGGAACTCACTGTTCTGTACAGCCTCTCCGGAGCACACCAGCCTGGGCCATACCTCCTTGACCATACCCTCCCTTCCTCACTGAGCGGAGTTCAACACAGGCCAAAGGGTGCTGTTCCTCCAATTTTCTCTTCCCAGCTATGAGAAGAAGTTTTCCCTCCTCTGTACTTACTCCTGTGAGCACTCTATAGACGAACCTTTTTCCAAATTGTACCATCTACAGGGCTTCTCCAGGGTATAAAGTGCTAGGAAGTGTTAAGGACATGTGATGGCGTTGTCTCTTTAGTGTATAGCTTATTCCCCCGATATGGAGTCCTTCAGTCTGCTGACATTGAGGGAGGACTTATGTTCCCCACTCTGGCCAAGGTTCTTGGGACACAAAGGTACATAAGGTGCATACAGTGCTGTATCCTGAGGAACAGTCTGCTGCTCCTGGTTTACCAAAGTCATACTGGAAATCAGAGGAATCCATAGGAACCCCACTGGCTACCGCTCCACAGTTTGGGTCACGAGCGGCTCACCCCTTGGGCAGAGCTCTGGGGTGCTGGGATGGGCGGTTAGGTGGGACTCACTTCTGCTCCCTCTGCAGGTATCATCCTCATGATGACGCTGTGTGACCAGGTGGACGTTTATGAGTTCCTCCCATCCAAGCGCAAGACTGACGTGTGCTACTACCACCAGAAGTTCTTTGACAGCGCCTGCACGATGGGTGCCTACCACCCACTCCTTTTTGAGAAGAATATGGTGAAGCACCTCAACGAGGGCACAGATGAAGACATCTACCTGTTTGGGAAAGCCACACTGTCTGGCTTCCGGAACCTTCGCTGCTGAGCCTGGGCCCCTGGTCAGGCACCTTCTTCTTCTCCATTGGTCATTTTATGGCTGCTCATTGGCCACTGCAGCCCAGGAGGACCATCTTCAGGAGCAGCCTCAGCCAGCTGATTGGACTCTAGAGGCTCTAGAGGGCAGGGCCTCTGGGGTTTCCAGAGACCAGGGCCAAAGAAACCAGGCCCAGCCTTCCTCACAGGGACAGAGCTTGTCAGCCCAGCCTCCGGTCACACAAACAGACACACATACCTGACATCCTTTCTACACAGCATCTTCCCTCGACACACAGGTAGAGGCAAAATCTGCCTTTCTCCCCTGGGCTGCCAAATCTGGGCTTTGTTTTACCCAACGGAATGATGTTTTCCTCACAAACCAGCATTCTGGGTTGCTTGAGAGCTCTACCTAGATGTCGATATTTTAAAGAAACCCCAAATCATGATTGTACCAGGTGCAGGGTGGCTCTGGGGTGCAAGTAGTTTGGGCTATTGGAAACATCTCAGTTTCTCCAGAACAAAGTTGCTCAGTGCACTGGGGCATGTGGAGGGATGAGCCTGCTCTCCACTTGGCCGGGAGACACACGCTGTACACTGTGCCCATGGTCCTAGCAAGCTTCATAGAACTGGGGCATGGGAATGGGCTGCACAGGAAGAGAAGAAACATATCAAATAGATTTCATCTGAGTCACTTTAACTTTCCTTTCTGCCTTTATCACCAGTATTTTATTCTCTAAGATCTGCTAGGATATAGAGGCTCTGGCCTTTTTATTTTTTTGAGGAAGCCTCCTACCCACTAAGTGTTGGCACTAAGTGTAGTATCACAGCAGGCACCAGACAAGCCAGAGCCCCTGAACCCTGATTTCTGTAGGTTTGGCCTGGCCTGACCTTCTTCACCCAGTGGGGTTTATGCACTATATTCCAACTCTTCCTTTTTTAATGTCTACACCCCAAACCTCTTCCTAACAGCTGTCATTTTTACCCCTTTAATCATCCCCTCACCAATTACTGGCAATCATATTTCACTTTAAAAGTATCCTGACCCCACTTTCTCTGACCTCATAAGCCTTTTGCAAAAACGGTCTCCTAGGGAGTTGGGGTTGTGCTTCTCTAGGACTGATGGCACTCCCAGAGGCCAGAACCTGGGAGATCACAACTGATTCTCACAAGGCATGGTGTGTATGAAGTCACATTGCCACACCTTCTGCTCAGTCCCAGCAGGGAGGCATTGTGAGAGTCCCCAGGTGCTATCTGCCCACTGTGGTTTGCACGGATGCTCCCCCAAGTTTTTTCCTGTTTCCTGTCCATTTGGTCCCCATTGAAGAGAAGTTAGATGACTTGCTTAAGATCACACAGAAAGGATGCAGAGCCAGGGTTTTCAGAACTAGGACTCTGGACTCCCACGTGCTCCAGCATCGATAGTGTTTGAGTTCCAAACTGACCATCTTGGAACTAGATACTCATTTACTGCCACTCCCCTGGCCTCTGTAGGCAGAAGAAAAAGCCCTGGCTTTTCAAGTTGATGCTCCCCTACCTAATTGCTGTGGCACCTTGGGAAAATTCTCACCCCTGTTTCCACATCTGAAAACTTAGGGTGATGATCCTACCTTACTGGGTGATTGTGAGGATTGCAGAAAAGCAGCTGTATCAGTAGGTACCTAGTCCATGAGGGGCTCCTTCCGTTCTTTCTTCCTTCATCAAGGGCTGCTCTGTGCACATCTAGGCCCGACCTTGCTGCAATGGAGAATGGAGTCGGGAAGGGGAGCGAGGGTCCTGTGCTCAGGGAATTGGCTGTTTTATTGGGAGACAACAATTGCTCCTCTTGGAACATCTGGAAAAACACTCAAGTCTGCGGACGATGCAGGGCCTGGCCCTCTTCACTGCCTGCAGCCCAGGTCAGGTCTACTTGGGAATGAGTGGAGCACGTGGCTTGCTGGACCGCTTAAGTGAGACTCCTTAGCTCTCTGTGGGCCCCCAGATTCCTGGCTTGTTTTATGTTCTGATTGGACATACTCATGACCACAGAGTGCTAAGAAAGGTGGCATTCTGCCAGCAGGAGACATGTGTCCTCTGTAGAGACAGACTACACTGGGTAGAATCTAGTTTTCAGGGTTTTTTTTGGTTACCAGGAATCAAACTCAGGGCCCCTGCATGCCAGACAGGTGCTGCACCACTGAGCTACATTCCTGGCCCATTTAATTGTTATTGTTAATATGAGATTAAATTAATTTATGATTTTGAAAGTCTGCCGAGCTTTGAATTCTATGCTCTGTAAATGTGGAAACCTTGGAGAAATGCAAAGAAGATGTGGATGTAATCATTGGCCTGTGTTTAATGTTTTTGACAGATAATTTTAAAGCTATGTCTGAATGCTGCGGGAAAGCCTGTCTGTGTGATTCCGTCTTCAGGAGGCATCTATTCCTCCTGTATCATGCAGTCCCCTCTAATCCTTCCAAATAAGCTATTGCTGTTCGTTTGGATTTGAGACTTTAGTCTCACCAGAAAGTTCTGAAATATGCCTAAGCTAGTTCTGAATTACCCAAAGATTGTATACATTTGTAAAATAAAGGTGATTTTTAAAAAGCTTGCTTCTTTGTTTTAGCTGCTGAGGGAATGAATACTCACCACTGATTCTCATGTCCTAGAAGGACACAGCTGGGATTTGGCGTCCTGCAGTCCTCTCCCCTCACTAGTTCTCTGCCTTCAGCCTTCCTCATCAGTGCTCCAGAAAAAGGAGTACTCATTATTTGTAAAGATAGCATCTTGGAAATATTGACTGGTTTATCAATTTTCCTTCTTTTTGTTCTTGCCTAGATTCAAGTAACTAAACTATTGTTCATCCCATACATCAGGGAAGGGAAACAACAGAATGAAAGAAAGCAGAAATTTCCAAAATTCTTAAAGGAATGATATCCTAAGGGAATAGCCAAATGTTTGAATAAAAATCCTGAAGGGCAGCAGGATTTAGAGGAGAAAAGATGATTTCCCCCTGGTAAGCTGCTCACTCTCTGGATAGAGGTTTAACCTGCCCCCATAATTTATATATTGAATTCTTAGCCTCCAATATTTCCAAATGTGACCTCATTTGGAAACAGGGTCATTGCAGATGTAATTAGTTAAGATGAGGTCATACATACTGTAGTAGGGTGGGCCCCTCACCCCATAGGACTGGTGTCCTCATAAAAAGAGGAAACTCAGAGACAGAACCCCATGCGATGGAGCCTGAGATCAGGGTGACTTACTACAACTCAGGGAACACCAAAGATTGCCAGAAAACCACCAGAAGCTAGGGAGAGGTGTAGAAAAGATTCTTCCTCACAACCCTCAAAAAGATCTAATCCTGCTAATGCCAATATCCTTATCTCAGAGGTCAGCTACCAGTAAATTTCTGTTGTTTCAGCCACATGTTTTGGGGTCCTTTACCCTTTGCACCTCTAGCAAACTGATGGAATGCCCTCTCCCTCGTACTCCATTCACACCCCCTTCTGTAACTCCCCTGCACTGGGGCTGCAAAGAACAAGGCAGGGAATGTGCTTACCAAAGGCCCAGTGTCCTGCTTCCCAGCCAAAGCTTTGGGGGACTGCAAGTTCTTGATGCTGAAGTGTCATGGGCCCTCCGGTCCAGTCCAGCCTTGCTGATGAGACCATGGGCAAAGGGCACCTGAGTTATGCTCAGCTGTCAGAGAGCTCTGAAGACTGTATCCCTGACTCCGCACCCCATCCTTTAACTTTGTAAACTCCCCAGGACTCTTCCTCTCCTTAAGGACAGAGGTGGAGCATCTATCTGGTTTCCTGTAGAATGGCAGCTCAAAAGTGAAGTTCTAGAACAGACATCATTGAGTTTGGCTCTGAGACTTGTGCTTGCCAAACTTCCAGTGGCCCTAAGTCTGCCTAAGGTCTTCCCACTAGTGAGCCAGGTGAGCTGGGCCCTCTGTCCAGGTCTGGAGGTTGTTCTTCCCTGGCTCCCACTCTGCCGTTTGCTTCTTTTTTGTGTGAATCAGGAGTGGGGAAGTGAAAACTGGGACCCTGGTCCCTCTGCTGCTTGGGAGAAGAAAGCGCTAAGGAAAGGGAAAGGGATCCTTTCCTGCAACTTCCACTCCCACCTCCACTGGCAGGGATCTCCTCACAGACAGAGCTCAACCCTCAGCGTCTTAGAGAACATTCTCAGAGGATGCTTCACACCTGAGTAGCGTGAACTCCCCTCCCATGCCTGGTGAGAAGGACCAGGATGTGTGGGGGCACCTTATGGCCTCAGGGCCACCTTCCTTTCTCACAGCGACAGGAACTCTCACACAGAAAAGTCCATCCAGGTGGGCTGGGATAAATGGCCTTACTGGTACCCCTGGAATCTCCTATTGGAGGCATCCATGTCTGCCCGTCCTCAGGATTAATGGTAAATCAACTTTTCAGTGGGAAGAAAAATTCTCTCTAAATCATAGCATTAATTCACTTTGAGCACCTGCTACATGCCTGGCAGTGGGTAGCAGTGATGAAGACTTACAGCACCTACCCTCCAAGAACTGGAAGTCTGCCCTGACCCTGTGTAGGTGTCTGGAAAGTTAGCCTGGATAATACTGCATTGTTGATAGGCGTACGTTTGTAACTGCTTACAAGAAAAATACCATGCAAGTGTCAGATGAAGAAATGTGATAATCCAAGGTAAAGTGCAGTAGTGAAGTTATAGAGGAAAGAGGCTCATTTTAACAAGGGGATTTGGGAAGTCTTCATGGGTAACAGTCTTCAGGGCTGGGTGCGATTCTGTCTTTTTCTTTAAATAAATGTTTTTTCTGATTATCAAAGTAATACATATTCATTGTCAAAAGAGCAGACAATTATGAAAAAGGGGAAAGGAGCCATCTCCCATATCATAACATCCAAAGATAATCTACAAGCAGTTTCCAATTCTGTTTTTTGTTTTGTTTTGGTTTTTTTTTTTTTGTTTTTTTTTGTTACCGGGGATCAAACTCAGGTCCTTGCGCTTGCAAGGCAGGCAGCAGAACTACTGAGCTAAATCCCTGACCCCCAGTTCTGTTTGTACGAGAATACATTTTTATCTCTCCCTCTCTCTCTCGTATAAATGACAACTTATAATTGTATTTACATAGGGGTACAAAGTGATACTGTGACTTAAAAATACGAGGAAAAATTAAATCAAGTTAGCATATTCCTCATCTCAAATAACATTTTTGTGGTGAGAACATTCGAAATTTGCTCCCTTAGCCATTCACAGCCATGGAATGTGCAATGGATCTGAAAAAAATTCCTTCTGTGTAGCTGAGGACCAGGTACCCATTGATCACCAACCCCCCCTCCCATGACCCCCATGTATCCCTAAGCTCTGAGACTACCATTTTACTCTGTTTTTATGAGTTTGATTTATACCACATACAACAGAATAGGCAGTGTTTGTTTTTCTGTGTCTGACTTTTTTTTAGTTCACATGATGTTCTCTAGTTCCACCAATGTTGTTGAAAACGACAGAATTTCCTCCCTTCTGAAGGCTGCATAGCATTCCACTGTGAATATATACCGCATTTTCTTTATGATTCATCTGTTGATGGACATTGGTTGATTCCATAAGTTGGTTATTGTGAACAATTATCTCTTTGACAAACTGATTTAAAGTCTTTTGGGCAAATACCCAGAAGTAGATTGCTGTATCATATGGTAATTTCAATTTTAATTTATCGAGGATGAGTTTTCCATAATATCTACGCGAATTTATATTCCCACCAAACTTCTGCAAATGTTCCCCTTCCTCCAGTCTTACCAATACTTGATACCTTTCATCTTTTTGATAAAAGCTGTTCTGATAAGTGTGAGACAGCTTGTTGTGATTTTAATTTGCATCTCCACAATGATTAGAAATGTTAAGCATTTTAAAAATATATCTGGTGGCCGTTTTTATGTCTTCTGAGAAATGTCTATTCTGGTACCTTGCCTATTTTTAGATTGGGATTTTATTTTCTTGCTATTGAGTTTTTGAGCTCTTTATGCAGTTTGGATATTAACCCTTTAACAGATGTATGACTTGTGAATACTTTCTCCTAATTTGTAGGTTGTCTCTGCAAACTGTTAATTTGTTCCCTTTGCTGTGCTGAAGACTTTTAATTGTCTTGGAATCCCTTTTGCCTACTTTTTTGGGGGGGGGCAGGGTCTTGCTGTGTAGTTCAGGCTGGGCTTGAACTCACTATGTAGCCCAGGCTGGCCTCGAACTTGCAGTGATCCTCCTGCCTCAGCCACTTGACTGGTGCAATCACAGGTGTGCACCGCTGAGCTCTGCTTATCTTTGCTTTGGTTCCCTGTGCTTTCAAGGCCACCCCCTCAAATCATGACCCAGACTAATGGCATATCGTTTTCCGCCCTATGTTTTCTCCTAGCAGTTTCATAGCTGATGGTCTTAAAATTGTCTTTAATCATTTTTAATTGATTCAGTTTTTGGTCTGTTTTTGGTTTGTTGAACAAGGTCTCATTATGTAGTCCAGGCTTCCTCAAATTCCCAATCCTCATGCCTCACCTTCCCAAGTGTGAGTTGATTTCTGTATAAAGTGTGAAACAAGGCTAATTTCACTCTTTTGCATATGTATGTCCAGATTTCCCAGTATCATTGATTGAATAGACTGTATCATTCTAGTGCATGTTTTTGACATCTTTGTCACGAGCCAACTGACTATATATGAGGGGTTTGCTTTGGGCTATTTGGTTGCATTGATAGATGTGTCTTCATAATATTAATATGATTAATGTGATGATTAAAATGATTAATATTTATTGATTTGTAAGTTGGACTATCTTTGCAACCCAGGGATAAATCTCTCTTGAGCATAGTGGGTGATCCTTTTAATATATAGTCGAATTCTACTTGCTATTATTTTCTTGAGGATTTTTATGCCTATGTTCGTCAAGGACATTGACTTATTATTTTATTTTCTTATAGTGCCCTTGGCTGGAGTTGGTTGTGGGTAATACTGGTCTCATAAAAAGTGTTTGGAAGTATTGCATTTTTCAATCCTTTGAAGAGTTTGAAAATAATTAGTTTTAGTTCTTTAACTATTTGGTAGAATTCAGCTGTCTGGGCTTTTTTTTTTCTATTAAATTCTTTTATTGGTACATTGTAGGTATACAACACAATTGCATTTCTCATTGGGAATTGTACCTTTACATAATGCATCTTAGTTCTTATTTTTTCCCCATTCCTAGCCCTCCCTTCATGCCCTCCACCCTTCCCTATTTACAAAGACTTTATTTCCATTTTTTCCATTTCTCATCATTTTT